TCCCGAAGGCGTAAAGTGTTGAATAAGAGACCACTTATATTTCACCAGCTAGTGGTTTAACGAAGGCAGAAATCCTCCAGCGAGTTCGACAAAGGCATCATCAACTTTGTTTCACTAGATTACAACCTTTGGATTGACGGCAAACACTGCGGAGATATCCGACTTTTCCACCGTGATGGCATTTGGTATTCCGATGCGGGCAAGTATATCGTGAATGCAGCTTTCCACAAGAAATACCTTGTTCAATCTTCTTGTCAGCTTGAACGCACTTTATACTGTCTGAATTTTCCTTGGCGTACGACTGAGCAATGCCGTGAGTTTTAAACGCGTTATATTATCACTGTGGATAGCTTGTCGAAATACCTCGTGATGCCAGCTGGGTGGATCGGGATTATCCCGTTTCAGCGAAAGGTTCGGCGGCAATGTTCCAGGACTTGGTAAGTTTTCGCCTGGCAAGTGTCCTCCCTATGAAATACCACATGTATCCATTTAACAACACTGCGACGTGGCGGACGTGACTCGCTACTAAATAAAGTCACTGCCCCTTGCTTCATCTCGCTGGAGCATGGTAATCATTCAGCTTGACGCTGAATTACTGGGAGTATTGGGCCCCTGTTTGACAGCCAGCCAACCGAAAAGCGTATGAACCGAGCAATCGGTCACCGACTCCCAATGGGCGCGATTCCCTGAATTCGCCCCGCTGCCTTGCGGGTCAGGTCCCTATGACCAAGGCTCCGGGTGGGCCCCTAAGTCAACCCCCTTCCTCGGCCTGAGCAACCAGGAAGCTGTATGCCCACACAACACATGAAATGATGGATTTACAACTCTCTGCTCACGTCTCTCGCTCTCTGAACTCTCTCTTTGGCCGGGGTGCTGGCGGCCGGACATGCTATACCTCACTCTACCGCACCGCAAACCACGTTCTTCGTTCCACGTTTATACAATCTTCTGTTCTTGGCAACCCGCCTTCAATTTCGAGTCTCCAAAAGTGCATTGCAAATAAAACGGTACCTCTGGCCTCCTCAATGAACCGCTCAAAATCGATCGCACACATTCCAATACCAACAGCAAGGCTTTTATTGCACCCCGCTCGCTCTTCAAGCTAGCTACGTTCAATGTTCGAACGCTCATGCAGATTGGTTCACAAGCTGCTCTTGCGCGAACCTTGGAAACCCTCTCAATCGACGTTTGCTGCCTAACCGAAACCCGTTTACAAGACTCCAGCACAACGCTGCGATTGCCCTCACCCTCCCCAAGTTCCAATTGCACATTCACCTTGCGCTTATCTGGAGATGCGACAGCGGCAGCCTCTGGTTGCGCCGGCGTAGGAGTTGCGTTAAGCGCGCGTGCTGAGGCAGCGCTCATTGACTGGTTCCCGGTCAACAGTCGTCTTTGTGCAGTCCGCTTGGAAAGCTCAGTGCGATCTTCCAGCCACGGGACCAGTAGGCGCTGCTTATTCATTGTGGCGGCATACGCTCCAACTGACTGCAGCCCGGACGAAGCTAAAGACGAGTTCTACCGCCAACTCACCGACCTCCTCCGCAAGAAACGCCGCACGGACATCGTGATACTCGCCGGTGACCTAAATGCGCAGGTCGGTAGACTAGAGGTTCATGAGCGCGAACTTGGGGGTCAACACAGCCACGGTACTCGCAGGACGGACAACGGCGATCGACTCCTGCAACTGTGCGCCGACCACGGCTTGTTCCTCTCCAGCACCAATTTCCGACGTTCCTGGCGCCAACGAGCCACCTGGCGACCTCCGGCGCCTGGTCAATCTTGGACGCAAATTGACCACATCGCTGTTAGTTACCGTTGGCGTGGCTGCATAACGGACTGCAAGTCAATATGGAACACTTACCTGAATTCGGATCATGCGCATGTGTGTGCTAAGTTCGTTCTGCGCTTTGGAGGCACCCAACAGCGTCGCCGAAATGGTTTGACACAGACAAATTTGCCGTTCCAAATGTTCTCGGCGCATTTCAAAACGCATTAGCCTCCAATCTAAGTTCTCTGTCCTCCGATGTTGAGACACATTGGGTACAGATCCAGAGTGCTTTACGAAATTCCGTTACCCTAGTCTGTGGCTTCCCTAGACGAGCTGTTAATCATTGGATCTCCGCACAGTCTCTCCAATTAATGGAAAGTCGTCGAACAATTCCCGCCGCAAGTGAGTACAACGCACTACGCAGAACCACAGGTGCTGAGCTCAGACAGCTCCTCAGGAAGGATCGGGAGATTTTGTGGACACAGCGCGTCGTCGAGATGGAGCGGGCAGCCCCTTCAGGAAATTACCGCAAACTCTTCCAACTTATTCGCTCGACGGAAGGCAGATGACTAACTGTGAGTGAGGTTTGCGTGACAATGCCGGTGAACTACTTACCATTCGTCACTTTCGTCTGGTACGATGGGCAGAGCACATTTGAAGATCAATTAACTTGGCCGGAAGCGCAACCGAGTCTATCTTCCGGGTTTCACAGTGCTCCCTGGTGCGCGGATGACTCTCCACCGACAGAGACTGAGGTTTCCAATGAGCTTCGCCTACTGAAGTGCCACAAGTCACCTGGCCAAGAGGAACTTCCTCCTGCCCACTTCAAATATGGAGGTCCTGCTCTCACTCGCGAACTGACATCTCTATTCCAACAGATTTGGACTACTGAAACCATTCCATCCGACTGGAATTTAGCGATGTTGCACCTGTTTACAAAAAAGGAGACCGGACCATTTGCTCCAACCATCGTGGCATCAGTTTCATTTGTGTCGCATCCAAACTGCTCGCTGCCCTATTCTTACGGAGGCTCAGTTGCGTACGGGAACAGCACCTGCGTGAACAACAAGCTGAATTTCGCCTGGGTCGTGGTTGCGTCGATCACAGATTTACGATCCGCCAGATACTTGAGCATCGCCATACGTTCAATCGACCAACCATAGTCATATTCTTGGACATTTGAACCGCTTTTAACTCTGTTGATTGAATGGCTCTTTGGGACTGCTTACTGCAGAGGGGAGTACCTGAGAAGTACACCAGCACTCTCCATGCTATTTACCATCAAACTTCGGGCCGCGTGCGAGCATACGGAGAAATTTCACCCCCTTTCAGTATCACTAGCGGTGTTAGACAGGGTTGCCCAGCCTCTCCACTCTTGTTCAACTTCACTATGGACGTGATCCTGGATACTGCCCTGGATAACTCTGAGTCCTGTGGTGTTGAACTGTCCCCTGGTGACCGCCTTCGGGACTTAGAATACGCAGATGACATCGCTGTGATTTGCGAGTCCTCCCAAGTCGTCCAGGATGTGCTGCTCAGACTGGAGATGTCCGCCGCTCAATTTGGGTTGAGTTTGCCCCTTCCAAATGTAAGGTCCTATTACACGACTGACCAAGCGCATGTCCATCTCTCACCCTTTCGGAGCATCCGTTGGAAGTGGTCGACAAATTCATTTATCTTGGGAGTTGTCTTAGTATTGGCGGTTTAACAGATGAGATCTCTCTGCGTGTCTCCAAGGCTAGAGTGGCTTTCGCTAACCTTCGTCACCTGTGGCTTTGTCATGATCTCAACCTCGCTCTCAAGGGATGAGTCTATAATGCTACGATACGAGCGATTCTGCTGTACGGCTGTGAGACTTGGCCCATTCGCAAAAATGATGTTCAGCGGCTATCAGTCTTCGATCCCCGCTGCCTACGAAGCATTGCTAGTGTTCGATGGCAGCACCACATCAGTAATGAGGAAATCCGTAAGCGAGTCTTCAGATCTAACGAACTACGCCGATCGATTGACAGCATCATCTCACTGCGGAGTTTTCGCTGGCTTGGCCATGTGCTTCGCATGGCTACCCAGCGGCTACCACGACCAGCCCTATTTGAGAGCACAGGCGTGGCTTGGAAGCGACGGAAAGGAGGGCAATGTAAAACTTGGATCCAATGTGTTAAGGCGCAAATATTAAAACTGCCTGTTATCAGGCCTTCCTGACTTCCGGGTGGGGGACCAAAGGACCCCAAGCACACCTTGTTGCAAACGCTGGAGGGTTTGGCCAAGGACGTGCGCAATCGTGCACTTGCTGTGAGACTGTTCTACTCTAACAGTTGGTTCCCTTTCATGCTACCCATTTTTCCTCTTAGATGTTGTGGCACAGCCAATTATATTGTAAATGGTATAGTGTTGAATATATATATATATATGTATATATTTGTAAAAGTCTACGAATAGACATAATGCCATCAGAAACCATGGGACTCAAACGAAGGTACAGAAATAGTAAAATAAAACACAACACAACAATGTCCATGGTTTCCTCAGAGGGCGAGGTACTGCCCGGTTGCCCAAGCCGAAGTAGGGTGTTGACTTAGGGGACACCACCCCGAGTCTTTGGCTGAATAGCCTGTCCGCAAGACAGCGGAGCGAATTCAGGGAATCACGCCCATTGGGAGCCGGTGACTGATTGCTCAGTTCATACGCCTTTCGTTTGTTCCTTTGTCAAACAGGGGCCCATTGCTCCTCAGAAGTACAACATGACGTTGCTGGAATACAATGCTTCGCCAGGATAAAGCAAGGGGCAGTGACTTTATTTAGTGGCGAGTCACGTCCGCCACGTCACAGTGTTGTTAAATGGACATATGTGGCTTTTTATAGGGAGAAGGCTTGCCAGGCGAAAACCCACAACGTCCTGGAACACTACCGCCGAACCATTTGCTGGAACGGGAAAATCCCGAACCACCCAGCTGGCACCACGAGGAGGTTGTTCGGCAAGCTAACCATATATATATATATATATATATGGTATCCGCCAGCCTACATACTGTAAGTGCACTTCCTAAAGGTTCCGATACGTACACGTCCCCGTTGATCTTCTTGTCTTGCCGCACATTCTGTCCCACGAGTCCGATAGCCTTGTGGCAAAGTACCGCTAGAGCTGTGTTGGCAGTGTCTGAACAGCTTCAGTCACATAGCGGATACTTCGAATAATTTTGCGCCTACGAATTCATGTCCGTCAAGGGTCCCTGTGTTAAGCACAACAATGGAACACGGGTAATGAAGCTAACACTTGACAAGTCCCGTAAGATTGCCTGTAGGAGATACATAAGTTCAAAGGGAAGTTATACGTTTGACAGCAATGTAAGCCGCTCAGCTGTGGACTCACTATCTACCCTAATTTCGTGTGGACGAGAGGCTTGTGAGCACATTGGCTGAAGTGGGTAGGATGCGTTCTCACTGATGCTCCGAAGGGTGAACAAAATGGACATTTGTTGAGTGTATGCGTTTCATGGAAATTAAAACTTCTTACAGTCTAATACTTCCATGGACTCTCTGCTACATATGAGCAACTGAAGCGCTTAGTAGAAAGTTTCGAATCGTTGGAAGTGATCGAGCCAAGCATTTTCCCTTGTTTGCTCGCATCAAGCTTTGGTAGTTTACTTTATCGGACAACACAAGCTTCATCTTGCGCAGTAGCTTTGAACGGTTTATCTTTCGTCCGGACGTCTAATGCTGTACTAGAGCGTAACACATTCTGATACCTCGTCACTCTATACTCTTTATGCGGGTTTACCGAGTTACCCGCTGGGTACTGACCGCTGCTCGCCACCGTTTGTGCCAGTCAACTACCGATGGATTGCTTGTTGGCCAGTTTACGTCTTGCTAACATCGCATGACCTAAATCACGTTGGTGTGTTCTGTCTATCATCTTCTAGATTAGGTCAAACACCGCACTGCGGGAGCGCGTTTTGGCAATTTGTCCTCAAATATGAGGTCGCATCTGTTTCAACTGAGCCAAAACAGGTGTGCTACAGTACGAAATGTGTTAGATTTTTACAGTGCTTTCTAGTCTTTGACGAACAGTACACAACATGTAAGGTGACTTCAAATCGATAGCTCCAATAGACAACTGTGTCTAAACATCAGCTCCTCGTGAAAACCGTCAAATCAGCCCATTAAATGTACTGATTGGCTTCTGTGGGTACGTTACGGAACACATTCAGTTCATAAAGTACACTCTGAAGCTTGTGAATATACTAACGGGTACCACGAACAAAAATGCACAACCGAGGAACAGAACACATTAAACGGAGGAAAACATAACTTCTTTGGCTGATAAGTCAGTCTGCATCAAAATGTGCATCAAATAAATGTGGCTCCAGGCTGTATACCCAAAGCAGCAGTTATCACACCTTTTAGACATTCACAGTACCTCTTATTGCCTTTCAGCCTTAGCAACGCTGTTTAAACGTTTCAGCGTTTCTTTCATTAGATAACACGTGAACCTGAAGGTGTTTACCCTAACTTGGTTGACATACCGCTAGCTTTTCTGATGAGAAATATCTACGTCACCTTAAAGCTCTTATTCAACGGCTGATGCAACATGAGTTAACATCAACCCTGACAAATGGGAAATCGTCCAGTGCACCATCGAATTACTTGACCACATGATAACCGCTGATGGTACCGAAGCGCTGCCAGAAGAAATCCCAATATTAAATGACTATACCGCTCCCAGCCCCTTCAAACAGCTTCTCCGATTCTTTGGATACCAATAGGTTCCTCTTAAATGTTTGTAACCTGCTGAATCGCGCTAGCGCAAATTCGGATTTGAGCTATTCGCGATACACCTAAGTATTCGGCAAGTACGTCATTACCTCAAAGATAGACATTTTACAATTTGCATCGATCGCAGGTTATTGGTCTTCGTAATAATTGGCGAAACAATAAAATATTCCCTCAGAGAAACTAGACACCTGGACTATGTCTCTCAATACACGACAGACGTACGGCATATCATAGGCGCTCTTACACCAGTCGCGGACGCTTTCTCATGCATGTATCAGATCACCTTAGCACCGAAAAGCAACATCGATCTGTCGACCGTGGCTGCGGCCTAACAAGCTGACCTCGACATAGGCAAGGTACGAAGTAACATCACCCTGAAACTACGCGAACACTAGAACAATGGTTTTACACGGATAAAAAGGCTAAAGCCTAACGCGTCCCGTAGGATGGTCGCGGTGAATATTGTAACGTAAAGAAAAATTCTCAACAAAATTAGGTTTGCACCGGTGGGCTCACTGCAGTATAGTTGCCGGCATCCGTATCCTGATTTGCCTGTCACTGGGGTTGCCATAGGACAACCACAGGATGTTTGCGCCTACAGTAGGACCATGGATGGCTTGCGCTGCACCACCCACAGCTCCAACCACACATCCCATATCTAGTGTAAACCCGAAGGAATAAAACCTGGAGGTATGTGGATGGGAGCCACGTTTCATCAACTGAGCTGGCCCACACTCCTTCACATGTATACACAAACACGCTGTATTTGGGGAACCAAACGCACACAAAGCGGTGGCTCGACCGTAGTCCGCTCCACACTGAGTGCATGGAACCACTCCTCGAGCCTATCACAGCCATAGGGACCGTGCACTCAGTTCCCTCTAGCAACGACCAGCTGTCTCCTAGAGCCAGTATGGACGAGGTAGTGGGTAATAGACAGGTAGGCACCTTGTCAACATTCACATCAAGCGCAGCCACACCGGAGATATCAAGCAACAGACAAGCAATTATAACGAGGAAATCAAATAAGACGCACGGAATACAGCATACAGATATTGTGACAAAACCCTTCACTAAGTGAGCATATGAAAGAAATTGGTTGCCAAAAATAATCCGCCATAGGTCTAAGACGTCAGAAAATATATTTTAAGAAAACGCCACAAACGCGAAAATATTATGGAAGTTAATTACAGGTACCTTACACGACGTGTGCAAGTTACTATAAGATAGCTCAAGTAGACAAATATATGAGATTTTTAAAAATAGCATTAGTAAAATATAGAAAACCTGCCACCAGCGATAAGGAGATCCAACATGCAAGCAAGTGTTCAGTAAATCGAATGCAGCGTACCTGCAAACGCTGTATCGGGTTCTGCTTACCTTCTTTGCAGAACTCGTCGTCGCCTCGGTGGTGGCCCTCAGTGAACTCGCTCATGGTCCACTAGGCCTGCCTGACTCAGGCACTCGCGATCGCATGTGCTACCGCATCATGCGCTCGATGTCAATAGAGTACAACCCATCAACACCCGCCGCTTCCGCAAATGCCACTTCTTCTCCGCATGCATGAGGTCTTTCTCCTGCACCTTGGCTACTGCCTTCCTGATCAGATCGCGCCATGCACGTCGATCAACCGCCTTCAATTCCGATGAGCTGCAATCAAAATTAGCACGTGAAAGGCTCACTTTGATCATGTCAGGGTAACGAAGCTTCGGTTTCCCAGATGCCGCTTCCCAATACTCAGCTGACCATATAACAGTTTTTACGGTATCCGCGTCGAATCCATTCGGTTCACATGACCGAGCCACATCAGGTGTCTCAGTAAAAGTATGCAGTCCACTGCATACATTCCACTTCGGCGCAACACTTCGGTGTCTGCAGCTCTGTCGCACCACCCGATGCGAAAAATCCGTCGCGAACACTGTTGTTGGA